AGTACTCCAGATGTGGCCTAACCAGTGCTGACTAGAGAGGAAGGATCACCTCCTTTGACTGCTGGCAACACTGTCCCTATTGCAGCTTAGGATACCGTTGGCCTTTTTTGCTGCGGGAGTGCATTGCTGGCTCCTGGTCAGCTTGTTGTTTACCAAGACCCCCAGGTTCTTCTCAGCAAAACTGCTTTCCAGCTAGTTGGCCCCCAGCACGTACTGGTGTCCGGGATTACTCCTCCCCAGGTGCAAGGCTTTGCATTTCCCATGTTGAACAGGAGATTCTTCTCTGCCTGTTGAGTTCTCTGAGTGGCTGCACAAACGTCTGCTGTATCTACCACTCCTCACAGTTTTGTAGCATCTGCAAACTTACTGAGCATGTACTCCATCCCTTCATCCATGTCATTAATGGAGATATTAAATAGTATTGGCCTCAGTATTGAGCCCTGGGGTCCACCAGGAGTGACTTGCTTCCAGCGGATCACATTTTGGGTGTGGTCACTCAGCCAATTTTCAGTCCATCTCACTATCTATTTATCAAACCCATGTTTTGTCAGCCTCTCTGTGATGATAGTAACAGACAGACAGTGTCAAAGGCTTCACTAAATTCGAAGTAAACAACATCCACTGGTCTCCCCTCGTCCATCAAGTGAGTCACCTCATTGTAGAAGGCTTTCAGGTTGGTCAAGCATTATTTACCTTTTGTAAATCTATGCTGGCTGCTCCTGATTACCTCTTGTCTTTCATGTGTTTGGAAATTCTTTCCAGGAGAATTTTCTCCATCATTTTTCCAGGGAATTCATATTGGGCTGTGTAAAAAGTGTGAGGTGGTGTGCTTTTTAAAAAAAGTTCACTTTCTGTTCTTCTTGCTCACGTTTAACTCAGAAGGTCTATTAAGTGGAAGCCAACAATAAAGGTATCAATCCACATCTTTGCTAAAAAGGCATATTTTTCTCAAGAGCTGAGAAAGCTCGTGGAGTTGACTGAAGTGAATTAGCAACCAGTTTTGTTGCTATTTATCCCCTCTTTGTGTCCTGTTTTCTAGACAACATTTTTCTTTTTAGACTGTAAATTGTGAGCAGTATTAACTAATTACGACTTCAGTGATCAGTTCTGTATATTTTTCTATTATTCAGGTTACGCAGGTGCTCCTTGTATTGTGCAAGTAGCCTAAGATGGCGGAACAGCTAGTGATAAGGAGTTAGTATATATACATAAGTAAATGGAAAAGATAATTTAGGAAAACATTTCAAAACTTGTAGTTTGCAATCTGTATGATATCATATGGACTGTATTAAACATCAAAAGCAAGCAAAATTGATCCACAAAGATAAACATACTGTGCCTATTCTAATTATATGCAGCTTATGAAGATGTAACACAACTTGTGAAATGTTGCCTTATTCTCTGCATGAAAATCCTGAGTGATAGTCTTACTAGAATCCAAACTAGAAAGGAAAATCTGATGGGAGGCAGGGAGAGAAGTTAAGGAAATGGGAAGTTCAAGTGAGTACCTGATGCTTTAGAAGAGGAACTTGGTGTGTGTATGGAAGAAGTTGAGGGGGTTATAGGGCCTTGCTAAGGAGAACTGACTCTGTGGTTGGTCTCCAAGATGCTGTCTTCTCCGTAGCCAAGAAAAACTGAGTAATGAAGGCTGTAGGTGATTTCTACAAATAACATTTGGAGCGTGAAAATATGCTGAAACTTCTGTCACCTGCTGAGTCATTATTCACTTTGGGTTTTTTTCTTTCACGTCTGGTTTAAGATTAGTTTAGCTAACTTCCCATGTTAAACTTAATCTACTTCTTTTCCCCTCCACTCTTCTTCACGAAGTAAAATTCTTTTTTTTTTAGAGCTAGAGAGATCTTAAAGGTGATATGAAGACTTCTCAATTGCTACATTTTTATTTGAGTGAACAAAGCTATCTTTTGGATTCAGCATGCTGATTGGAGTTTGAGGAGTTGAAATATGTCCTAACACAAAGATGCAAAGGCTGCTACAATTTGGAGGCGAGCATCCTTTGCTGGATGTTAGTCAGCACTTTTTTGGCAGCCTGTCCTCCCGTAGCCTGCTGTTGTGCCTGTGAGGAGTACTGAATATGCAGTAATTCCTTAAGAAGCTGACTTTCCAGATCAGTGCGCAGAGTTCATTGAACTGTCTGATTTGTTCCTTAATCCTTCTTATTGGATAAATAAAGGACTTTGGGACTAATGCAGTAGATAAAAAAAAAAAAATAATTTTTTTTTTAAGGCCTTCTCTGTATGTCTGTGAAATGTGATCTGAATTAACTCTTCACCAGTTCTAAGATCTAATAACAGACAGCACTCTTGTTTAGAATAATACCGTTTCTAAATTTTCTCCTGATAGTAAGTACCCCAAATGTTTCCTAATTCTGTTCTAAGTTGCTGTTGAATAGATGCTGGAATTAATTGAGTTTGTATAGCTTCATGTGGCTCAAAGTGTTCCTGGCTTAATATTATGCATACTGTTTCTGCCAAATAACAAATATTAACTTTTTGGTTTTAGAAGTCAATCTTTTTAGGCTGATATTTAAACTTCTTTTCTTCGTATCCACTTAGAGAGGAAAAAAGTCAACGAAATCAGAGCTGGAAAGCCATCTTCATCAGTACCTACTCTGACCTAGGAAGATACATCCGCTACTATGCTACATTAAAAAAAGCCTGGGATGACCTAGAGAAATACTTAGGACAGCGATGTCCTCGGATGATTGGTTCTTTGAAAGGTACGGTGCGATGTAATACCTGTTTTCTCTAGTAGGTTGGCTGACGCAATGTTGTCTGTTATTAAGTTTTATACTGTTTTCATCCTAGGTGTGTGCCTCAATTACTGAGAGCCCTGAAATTCAAGTAGACTTACTTTCCCTTCCTGACCAGTAAATATGTATAGTCCTTGCCCAGTTACTAGCGGTCCATAAATTCTCTGAAGATTTCTTTTCAGAGAAGAAATGAAGATTTTTATTGTTTTTTTTTTCCTAGTGGCCAGTCTGTTGTCTTTATCTCTGGACTATCAGGAAATGAATGCGCTTTTACTGCTTTTGTCTTTGGTGGCTATGACTGATTTTTTTTCTGTTTGTTTTGTGGGGTTTTTTTTTTTTTAGTTTAATAATCCCATTACTTCAAGGACCTGGGACCTGTTGGTGTGATTTTATTTGTGAGATTTTCTTAAGACCTAATTAAAACACTTCTACATGAAAACAGGCGTTTTAAACTAAAGCCAAACAAAAGGGAAATATTGTTGTTCTTCCTCTTCTGTAGGTCTTACTGTGTTCTTCTAATGAAGGTCAATTAGTGACCGAACAAGAATTTTTACTTTTTTTTTTTTTCCCTCCAAGGTTGTTTTCAAATTAAGTTTGTGTTTTAATACTTGAAGTACTTCCAGTATTCTGGTTCATAAGACATACAGCAAGTTTGGGCTTTTCTGGTATAGGGACAAAATAGCTCTTACATTTTCAGCTGTACTTCACTCTTCTGTATGAAATTGACTGTTAGATCAAGATGTTTGATTTAACAGGATCAGTGAAATCAAGAGAAATCTATAGAAATGACCTCTTTCCTGTGTAAATCTTGCATATTTCTTGGCTTGCCAGATTCTTAAGTTTTGTGAAGTATTTGTGAATAACAGAAAATGATTAGAACTTTACACTTACTGTTTTCTTTAAAATTTTTTTTTGTTTTGTTTTATTACTTCTGTGTGTGAAGGAATGTCTTTTTAGGAAAAGGCCGAAAGGGTTATATGTAGTGTGGACTCTTGTGTAACACAGGCCATAGTACTTGATGTAGGTATCCATGCCTTGATTTCTGTAACTTCCATGTAACTCTGTCGAAAATAGACTTCGCTCAGGTTTACAGAACCACTGAATTATCAGTCAAATATTTTTGTTAATAAAATGGAAAGTATCTGTGTCAGAAGTGTTGAAACGAACAGATTTTACCACTGTTTTACTTTCAAAATCCTCCCAAGGAATTTGGTGCAATGAAGCTTCTCTTTGTCTACAGAAAGAGAAAAATAAATTTAAAATTATCAATTTCTACACTTGTATGGTGATGGCAGGTTTTAGCAGGAGCTTTTCCATAACTTACACCTTTTTAATACCATTTGTACAGGATCTTGTTTTAATTAATTGTTAAATTATGGCATGTAAGTGAAACTGATAATGAATATGAAAAGGCTTTAAAAAAAAAAAATCACCCAAAAAAACCTTTGATTGGAGCAGACCACGCAGGCCACCCAGTTGATTTTTGGTAGAAGTGAGGGTGCAGAAACCGCCTGAAGTGTGTGTGGAGGTGTAAGAGCAGTTACTCCCCACCCCCTTCTGTTGACGATGACATGAAAATCTCCCAGTTACAACTCATTTATTGCTTCAAATTCCAGGTGAATGGTGGCTGCATTTTTTTGTTACTAATCAGACTGGAAACTGAAAGAAGCAACCCTTAGAATGATGAAAGAGTGAAATCAAAAAGTTTTACCTGGGACTTGGTCAGCTAGTGACAATATTGTGGGGAAAAAGTTCATTTCACTTTCTGAATACTTTCTGCTTAAGTCTGGCCTGTTGAGATTTTGTTGGATGAAGATTGGTGCTGTATTAAGTAATCAGTTAATGTAATCAGCTTCCTTTCAAATTTATGTAGTATTCATTCTGTGCCACCTAGCATACAATAAAGTCACCAGATATTGACGGGAGTCTATGTTCATTTGATCAAGGCACTTAAAAATTCCATGTTTTGTATTTGAAATACTTGATTTTTAGTGATTCTGGCCACTTGCATGAATTTAATCAGTGGAATATCCTTGAGACCATGCTAGTAGACAGTTGTGTCCCAAAGTCTGTCAGTTCACTTTCTTTGATTTATAAGTGGCAAAATACTTTGAAAGATATAATCCTTTTGTGATAACATTAAAAAAAAAATCCATAATGCTAAGATTTCTGGGGCTACTTAAAATTCTCTTTGGCTGTTGAAGACATGCTGTTATGTCTAGAATGTAGCTAGGTTTGACTGTATTTCTAGTCATGCAGCTCTGATGAAATGATGTGAAATAAAATTTTAAAGGAGGGGTCTTAACACAAATTCGAATACTCACTTTTGTCAGAAACAGCATACTGGGCACTTGGGGCTGAGTAGCAAAGCAACATTAAATCTGAGAGTTTCGCAGGAGCAGCGGTTCTTGATTCCACCTCCAAAACTGCCACTTAATCCTCTTGTTTCTTTCTATACACAGAGAGCGTGCGGGAGGAAGATCTAGATGCTGTGGAAGCACAAATAGGTTGCAAGCTCCCTGATGACTATCGATGTTCATTTCGCATTCATAATGGACAGAAGCTAGTTGTTCCTGGGTAAGGAGCGAAAACTGCATACCAAGTTATTAATTCCTTTTGTATTTCTTGGATACCTTATTAAAAAGATAAGATGTCTGCTGAACAGGATAGATGAAGCATTAATTGTACTGTAACTGAGTGACTGCTTGGTAACACTTCTAGAATTGGCTATCTTCTAGTCTCAAAAGTAATTAAAAACACAGTGTAGATTTTTAATCGCTCAAATTACTCTTACACTTCAGTCCTTTTTCCTAGTGAAAACCTTTTTTTGGTAATAACTAAAGCTTCCAGCTGTTAGACTTTTAATCATACCACTGCAAGTTGCTCCCCTGAAGTTTTGCTTTGTATTATGTGAGTAAATTAGCCTCTTGCACTCTTCAGTTTCATTATTTAATAACATTTTTCTTTAAAATGATTAGGGAATAACTTTCAAACCAGGTAGTCATTTTAAGTAGAATTAAGATGTCAGTTCTGCAAATTAAGTTTTCTCCGTAGAAGATTTTACAATTTTATGTGGTTTCAGCAATTAAAAACTCCTTTTACATTAAGATCAGAAGGCAAATGACCAAACATAATTTCTTATCTTCCAGCTACAGAAAAAGTTCACATGTCAGCACTTTATTAAGTGCTGCAAACACCAGCAAAAGGTGGAAAGCTGGGGCAAATCACTGCAGTGTCTGTAGGGGCAATGTATTCATGTTGCTCTACCAAAACCTTCACTAGTAAAGAAGGTGCAGCTTCCTCCAATTCTAGTGTTGTATGTGCAGAAGAGATATGGGAAACAGGTTTATGCAACCATAAGGATGCCTTCTAGTTCTGTTTCTTTTCCTGGAGATACTTTTTTTTAGAGAGGAGATAGGTGCCCTAATTCTGTAGACTTAGAATAGAGCTCTGCAGCTTTTGTGCTTCCTGCTCTTCCCACTACTTTTTCACTCCCACGAAGCCTCTTCTGTCCTGCTGTGCCCGTGGAAGGGCTGAAGGAGCCTTTGGGCATGCCTTTCAGCTTGAACAACTGCCAGAGGGCTGCGGTCCATTGCTGTGCCCTCAAAGAGGGGGCCTGAGCCTTACACACAGGTCAACAAACTTTCTTCATGAAGCGCTTACTGGGGAACTAGTAGGTCTGACGTGTGGGACCCTGGAGCAAGAAAGGCTGCCACACTGCAAGTGGAAGGTGTGGTCCTACTGTTGGGGACAGGCTTGCTTTCTTGTGGGAGATGAACACTGGAAAGACCAGGTGTAGGTAGTGGAAGTCTATGTAGCAAGTTGTTGGAATATTAGGTCAGAAATGGAGGAGATTTGAGACTAGTTGTCATTGTTAGATGCTTCAGGTTTCTGTATTTACATGTTAGCATCACTTTTTAAACTGAAGAACATGCTAATTCCAGACAAGACTACGTAAGGAAAAAGAGGAATGGAACCTGTTGCCCAAGATGGGAGCAGTTTATATCATGCTGACGAGTGGCAGCTTGTGCCTGAGTCACTGCTTTCATAACACCAGTAAAAGCTTAGCGTCTGCAGGAGCTTGCGTCTGAGAACATCAGTGAAAGGCAAATTAGAAGGGAGTATGGGTGGGGAAGTCTGTGTACTCTTATTGCTAAGCACACTGCTGTAGTGTGTGCCCTTATAGTTGATTACTTTGATCATATTCCCCCTTTTTATCATTCTGCCATTGTCTGCTTCTTTATTACATCAAGTGTAGGTTGCTTGTTTTTTTTTATTTTCACTCTCTCTCTCATGTAGCCCAACATTCATATCAACATTAACTTTAGCTTCTGATACTTACCTCCATTCATAATCTGTTATGTATTTCAGATCAGTACTACTTTTTTCCAAATTTATATATTCTTTTCTTATGTATAGAGAGGCTCCTTTTACTGTCTTTGTCAAAACCAAACAAAAAATCTCATCCTTTTCTGTGATGCTTATAAAAAACTAGAAGAAAAAATTAGAAAGACAGTTGATGGTCTTGCTGTGTTGTGCTAGTGAAGATTGTCTTATTCTTTCCTTGTATGTCTGTTCACTCATGTCTGTATGCCTTAGTTTTTATACTGAGATTACAATCTCTCTGACTCAGTGGTTACTTTGCATGTTTACTTCTCAGCCTTTTCTCAAAAGCATAGACCACCTTACTCACTGCAGTTTTGATCAATGACTGTTACTGTAGCAGCTCGGTATTCTAATTCAAAAATCATAAATGCTTTGATAGTATTGAAATGAACTTGCACAAAACTTGAGATTCAGAGCACTGATTATTATTATATTATGCAACTGTAGGAAGCTGCATCAGCTCTAAGTGGCTTCTTTGAAGCAGTTGCAGACATGGCAGGAATCACTAACACAGTTTAAAATGGTGCTTTGGAATGCACAGAACATACAAGGAAGTGTTCATCTTGGAACCATCAAGCCTCCCTTTGTGAAGGCTGATGTTGCGAACTAATAACCTAGTTCAGCACATGGATATTACTTATACTTCATCTAATATGCATCTAGAGCATTGACAGAATCAATGCTTAGAAAATATTTAAAGCTATCTTTGCATTGTGAGTGGTATCTTCTCTTTATCTTTCCTTTTTGTTGTTGTTGTCTGTTAAGTTTGATGGGAAGCATGGCACTGTCGAACCATTACCGCTCTGAAGACTTGCTGGATATTGACACGGCGGCTGGAGGTTTTCAGCAGAGGCTAGGTCTGAAACAATGCCTTCCTCTTACGTTTTGCATTCATACTGGCCTGAGTCAATACATGGCCCTGGAGAGTGTGGAGGGACGAAATAAATACGAGATCTTCTATCAATGTCCAGTAAGGAAGATATGTTTATACTTGTGAATGTACTTTTCTAATGATCAATGGTGTCCCTTTGCATGTTATCAGATACCTGAAATAGCAGAAAGTGAATACTAAAGAGATCATATTAGTTTGTTACTTGCCCCTGAGTTGCCATTCAGTTTTCATCAAAGCCCACAAGGGGAATGGTTAGTAAGTGAAAGAGAATTACACGAAGTTGTTAATGGCTATAACAGTGTCTTTAGGTCCATGATGGTGGACAATATTCATCCTTATTGGAAGGTGTTAATTGAATTTGTTCAAACTATGGCAAGTATATGCTCTTGTCCCTGTTTCTGTAAGGAAGAAAAGCTGTTCTGTTATGGAAGATCAGCACCTATATATATCTCTTCTCCAAGATATGTTCAATGTAAACTTACTACAGTAAATGATACCCTTGGTTTGTAAGCAAAACTTACTCTCCAGTGAAAGAACAAGTTGATTTTCAACAGCTCTCTTGTAGAACATAATTATTTGAGTATTTTTCATAATTCTTAACAGCTGTAGTATTTTAAGATAGACATACTGTTGGTGGTGAAGCTTAAGGATATTATACCTAACAAGACCGTAGTGCTCTCTTTCCTTACGCATGCCCTTGCAACCTCAAAAAGAAAGTGGGGTGAGTCAGGGGTGTTTCTTGAAAAAAGATGGGGGTCTTCATCCTGCTATGGAATTCCTGGCTATTTGTTTTCAAAACATGTAGCAATGAGATTTCTAGGGAATGTCTTGATAATGAATCACCTGAAGGATGTTAAGATCCCCCTTCGCATTATGCTGAGTATTTAAACCTTCTGGATAATGCTTGGGAACTTGGAAGGTTACTTACACACATCTGTGTTGGTTCATCCGTGGACAGCCCTGCTTGTTTCAGGGGGGAATACGGTAGTACAGCAGCTGGGATTGTTTAGCCTGGAGCAGAGAAGGCTCAGGGGAATTTTATCAGTGTTTATAAATACCTGATAGCAGGGCGTAAAGAAGTTAGAGCTTGACTCTTCTCAGTGATGCCTGCCCAATGACAGAAGAGGAGGCAGTGGACACAAGCAGAAACACTGGAAACTTGATCTGGATGTACACAAAAATGTTTTTCTGTGAGTGTGGTTGAACGCTGGAATGAGTTACCCAGAAAGGTTGTGTAGTCTCTGTCCTTGGATAGGACATCATCCTGGGCAACCTGCTCTAGCTTACCTTGCCTCAAGCAGAGGGATTGAACTGATGATCTCCAGAGGTCTCTTCCAACCTCAGCTGTTCTGTGCTTCTGTTGTAAGGCAGTATTTTTGGGGATCTTGTTTCTTGAACGGTGCATTAAATCTGATTTTATATGCATGAGCCTTAGTGGAATGTTCAAGCTGATATTCAATGATTACGTGAGCACTCGTGGGGACAGGCATGTGTGTTTTATATATTTGAATATCTGACTGGGAGTATAACAGTGTATTAAGCAGCCAAATTTTAGGTTTAGTGACTATAGGGAAAGTGTGTTCCCTGTGTTATATTTCAGGTTTTGAATTTTTACCTTAGAAGTCTAATACTCTCCTAATACATCCATAACCACCTTTCTCTTTTAGGACCAAATGGCTCGAAATCCATCTGCTATTGATATGTTCATTACAGGTAACACTTCAGATAAACTGTTCTGCAAAATGTTTCAATTGCACTGTTTGGAAAACACATGTCAGTATGATTTGAACAAAGCAAGCGTTCTAAATTTTCTGTGCTACTTGTAAGACTAACCTACTTCAAAACACCAGCGGTTACTTGAAATGAGATGCAAGTTTTCTCTATTAGAGCTTATCTTTCTGTATGTTTTGTATACAAATCATTCCCTGTACTAACTTGTCTAACAAGATGAGCAAAACCTTTAACTTAGCCATCATGGAGGTGATGTAAACAGTTATTAAATACAACACCCAAGTAGACAGACAGATTTTTTTTTTTCCCCTCCAGTAGTTTTTGCAACCATGTTAGAAGTTGAAAATATTTTGCATCCCTTAATGAAATCTAATTAACTGTCAACATAAGTGCAGAAGAAAACTGTTCTAAACTTTTGATTTGCCTGATTGCTTTGTTCAAAGCATAAAGGAGGGAAGGGGAAAACTGCGTAGTTGTTGTTTGGTTTTCTTGTGATCTGTTGTGACCATCTGTCTGACACGTACGTTGACTGGAGTAGTGTTTTGGTTATTTCTTTTTGTTAATCCACTGGAATCTGGTAATTGTGGCTATGTCTAAATTAATTCCTTTCACTCAGTGAGAAAGCAGATGTGTAATAAATGTTACCAGAATTAATATTAAAATTTAGCCTTGCACATTTCTTAGGAGATACGTGTTAATACTACAGTGAGAAACCACACTAGGCAATGCTATACGATTGCTGGTTTGGGTTGAAGGTAGTCAAATTCATAGCCACGCTAATTTTAGGAAACCTTTCTGTGAACTAATTGATTGTACGAACTGATTTCAGTGTGAAGTAGTCAACGTGTTACCTGTTTTACAAAGGTCATTGCAGAAGGCATTGTGTGCTTTAGATCCATCATAGGAAAGATACGACAAAAGCTCAAGAGTTTGGTTACTTGCTTCTCTCCACCCGAGGATGATGTAATACTTTAAAGCTACCCTATGGTGAATTGATGTTGCTGCTCAAGGTTGCTACTTGTATGCAATCGAGTCAATGGTGAGGTGATCTGACATCATATTTAAATGTATTCCACTTGGCCGAAAGGGTTAATCTTGGCTTATCACAGAGCTGAGAGGAAGTTTCATATACAGCATTTATTTTGTAATTTTTAACGTGACAGGTAAATTGGTCCACTTTCTCCATTCGGAATTACTTTATACAAGGTTTGCATTTTGTGGATTAGTGGTAGAAAGGAGGACAATAAACTTGGAGTTCCTTAGACTTCCAAAAGATCAAAGAAGAGTACACATAGGTCTTGCTCAAAGGCAGCGGTGTTAAGTACACTTAATCTAACAGGAGTGGTAGTACTTGATAACACATCAGTGAAGGTGAGGATAATGATTTCTTAGTATTTCAGCTTAAATCCAGGTTTGTGTCAGTGATATTGAGAAATAATTGAAGAACTCTACTTTTCTGTTGAACTCTATATTGCAATGCTTGGAAGATTTATGACTGAGAAATTCTTTTACAGAGAGCCAGTATCTCTTGTATGAAACTCTTGGAGAGTTAAATGTGACAGCTTGACTGTCTACTTACAAATCAAGCTGTTCTTAATTAATGGCTGTAGGTGTATGTAAAGCTATTCTCAGACAAGGACTGCAAGGTATTAAAATCCCAGGTTCTTTGGAATGATGTACAGCCTTAGTCTTCTGGGTTTGTTGCAGAGGTGCGGAGTATGTCTAGGACTTACCCCTGTTTTTAAGGAGAGTGGAAATTCTCCAACTTGCTAGCATGTTTCTTAAAGCTCTGTTGATACAGAAACCTGAATATTAAAACTAAGTCCATAAATGAACCAGCAGGCTTGCATGCCTCTTGTAGGAAGAATAGCTGGAAATATCTATACAAGTAGTATAGACCACTATACTTATCTTCTTTCCCAGTCACAGCAGAGCAGTCACGAGCAGAAACCCAGATGATGAGAGACACCAGCACTTGAAGACCATGATTATAATGTGAAATACTTAGCTAAGAGATTGTTTGTCTGTTGTGTCGTTTCTGGAGTATGCATTCTTAACTCTTAGTTCTTGGTTGGTTTTTCCAAATGATCTTTGTTGGTAGAATGGACTGGCATATTGACTGACTCATCTAAGTAAGTCTGAGAGCTTATTATAAAAATATTCAAAGCTTTAAACTGTTTCCTTGAAGTATTTATTGTAATGTGCTTAGTGGTAAATTTGCCTGTCCTTATGAATACTTTTATTCCTTGCTATCTAGGTACATCTTACTTGGAATGGTTTACATCCTATGTAAACAAAGTTGTAACTGGTGGTTATCCTATCATCAGAGACCAGATTTTCAGGTATTGTGACTGGGATTTACAACCTCACTTCAAGGTTTTGACGCTTCTTTTAGAGTGCTGACTTCCTTACAAGTATTTCTGGGTATCCGATAAAAAAAGCTGATGGTGGAGAGAGGAGAAAGGATGTGAAACTTATTGCAGATAAAGCTGTAAAACAGGATGCTTCAAGAAACTTTTTTTTTTTTTGTTTACCAGAAGCTTCAGAGTTTGTAACTTTGCATTAATGGTCCAGGAGTTCTGCACTGTAACTGATCTGAAGCTTAGCTAATGGCTATTAATATTTATTATTATTATGTATAAATTATATAAAATAATATAAAATATTAATAAGTAATATTTATTCTGCTTGCCATGAATGCGCTGCAGCTGCAGGACTGTGCTGAGTTATTAAAACAGCAGTTGTTTCAGTGAACAGATCTCTAAAATGACACTGTTGAATATGTAAACAAACAGGACTTTTCTGATGTTTGAATCTTCATGCACTTTTCTTCTAAATATAAGCAAGAACCTTAATTCTGACAAACTAAGATGCTACAGAACCAAGTTCCCGGTCTGTAAATTAATTTTCTGTAGTAGTTGCTAGTTTCTGTTTTTTAAATAGTATAATGACGCATCCTTATTAAACAAGTGTGTCTTAATTGACTTCAGATCAAATTATACACCCAGTTAAATACAAGCATTAATGAAGGTACAAAGAGACCCACAGCTGTATGAGTTTAGGTGATGGGGAAGTATGTATACATCATGAAGACACTGCATACATCCTTTATTTAATTGTCAAATGACAAGAATTCCTTGTAATCTAGCACCACAGTGCTCTTATTAGTAATGAACTTACGGCTTTATTAGTAATGAACTTGCCACTTTACGTGTTTAGTTTCCGGTATTGAATATACAGAGCTATTTGCAGAGTTGATGTTTTCCTTTCTGTAGGTATGTGCATGATAAAGAATGTGTTGCTACCACAGGAGATATTACTGTTTCTGTGTCCACATCTTTTCTACCTGAGCTCAGTTCTGTACATCCACCGCATTATTTCTTCACTTACAGAATCAGGTAAAAATAACAACTGAATTAACTCTTACAACACAGGATAGACCTGTGTAATGTTCAAAGCATCAGTTGTTGCAAATTTATGGACAGCATTCATAAATGTACTTTAATGAATAGGACATGCACAACATGCTGTACTACTTAATAAAAAAATACTAAATCATTACCTGGTCCGGTATACAAAGTACCAGTCAAGTTGGTAATTGGTTACCTCCAGAGATGGGTGAGGGAATGTGATGTAGAAAGGGGTAGATAATAATAGATAGTGAAACAGAGGTGTGAAGATGGATCCTGACAACTGATTCCTATACTTTAGTGGGGTTTTTTGCCCAGTCTACTTTGAGAGAGATCCCAAGGACGCTAAAACATTTCTTAAAATGGATGAAAGTAGTTAGATAACCATTAAGTATGCTGTTTGGCTTCTAGAATTGAAATGTCCAAAGATGCTCTTCCTGAGAAGGCTTGTCAGCTGGACAGTCGATACTGGAGAATAACAAATGCCAAAGGTGATGTAGAAGAAGTTCAGGGTCCTGGAGTAGTTGGTAAGTAAAAGGCTGCTTTTATGAACTCAGTAGAGGGAGTGTTTTTGTATTTAACGTACATGTTATGAAAGTTACGTTATGAGCTGTTCATCATGGTGACGGGGGGTAGTAGTTGTCTGGGTTGTATCAAAATCATTTTGTTTCTTGAAAGAAGGAGATATGTATCCATCTGTTTTGTCTTTAAAGTTGTTTTGCAAGGGATGTCCAGTACTCAACTGCTCTTCAGGCAGTTTTTTAACATCAGTAATTGCCCAGATTTGGATTGGATCTTTTATGCATCCACTGGAATATAAAATGATCTGCCTGAGTATGTTGTGGAATGCAAGTGCTTTTGCAAACTGCTAAATTGTGATTTGACTTCAGTCCTTATTATTGTGATCTAATATTTTACCAACAGGGGAGTTTCCAATTATCAGTCCAGGGAGAGTCTATGAATATACCAGCTGTACTACCTTTTCCACAACATCCGGATATATGGAGGGGTATTACACTTTCCATTGCCTCTACTACAAGGACAAATTCTTTAATGTCGCAATTCCCAGATTTCATATGGTGTGTCCGACATTCAAGGTGTCTACAGCACGAATGGTAAGCAGAAATGCAGTTGTGCTTATCCTATTTTTTTTTCTGTCTGAGCTCTTGTTTTCAGAGAAGACTTGCATTAATTTTAATAGGACAGTGTGACTGTGTGTTTAAACTCCATAGTCATGTCACTTTACAGTTTTGATTCTTTTATTGAAAATTGCTCTCTCTTTCTGAGCCATTTCTCAAAAAAAAAAGTTGTCTAGAAGTATCACGTCAGTCTGAGACTTTGGGAATTTCCCATTATATCAATTCTTTTCAGCTTCTGGAATGTTTATCAATGAGAAGACACTTCTGGTGCAAAAATTACAGTACTGAACAGTATTCAGATTGGTAACTGTGTAAAACATGATCCAATTAAGACTAAGACTAGCAACTCTAGTAATCAGTCTTTGTAGGCAATTGCCGTGTATCCTCACTGCCTTGACATGTAATGCTACCGGTTTACTTGAAGACCCTCGGCCCAAGCTTTCATAGGATGCTGTACAGGGCTGTACGTCTTCCTCTTCAAGTCCTCACCTCTGTCTGGTATCAAGGTCAAACCTAGTTGTATCAGTGAGATCAGGGGCCCTGTAGTTTCTCGACAGAGGTAGAATGTGACCGTTTTGTTGCCCTGTGTCTGAACACAACTGCCTCTCAGGATGCACAGAAATAGTATCTCTGTGTGTATGTATGTCTATTCAGGGCATATTTCTGATTATGCAGACTACAGCAGTGTTGAACTTTGTTTGCTTGGTTTGCTTTAAGGAGCTCTCAATTCTTAATTTGGACCTAGAAACATGGCGTTGCATTAGCGGTTTAGATTTCATAGTTCTTCCAAATATTCCATCTTGGTATGACCGCACTGTCATCTGTTTTAGCCATAATGGCATATCTGCTTTCTTCAACAGGGAACGTTTCAGTTAAGGACATTTTAAAAATGGTAGGAGTCTGTGTGATGTTCATTAGTTCTCACTGAAAGTACATTTCATAAAGTCACTTAATGACTTTGCAAATCAGTAAGATATTTAGCTTGCTGTTAATTATAACGTGGTTTTAGTTTGGAGATTGCAGGTGAACTATATAATTTCTTCCTTTGCTTTGGCACGTTTTAAGAAGAATGCCTTTTTTTATTTTATCACTAGCATAGCCCTTATTTAGTGACTAATTCAGCTAGAACTTGAAAGTTTTTCCGCAAGCCCTGAGTCTTTCCTCAGGGGTAGACATCTACTTGTACACCTTCTCATGTTTTTCCAGGGATTTGAGACACTCTTACTACCCATAGCTCTAACAGTAAGTGCCTGCAGATGTCGTGCTTCTAACAGAAAATGGCATCTCTTAATTCTTTCTCACGTTTATGGGAGCTGTAACCTCCTTCCATTTAGTTGACTGTGAAAAATAATCTACTTTTCTCTTTTGCTCTACCTACTACCTTTTAAAGGTAGTAATGACCCTTTGTTTTTAAACTAACTTTTAATAAAAGACAACAAGAGCTGCCAAGAATATCTGAGTTGTGGCTTTACATAGTTGTACATATGAAATGCTGATGGCTGATAGATATTTACTGAGTTAAAGGTCAAATTGTTTGGCAAAACAATCTGTATTGCAAATTAAACTTTGTAATTGGAAGGAGCTGGTTTTAGGACATAGATCACAATGTCTGCTTCAGCTAATTGACGCAATAATCCAGACCAGATTTTTCTAGGCAGTTGTTAGTGCTTTCTTAAAACTAGCTGGAATGGAAGATTTTAATGAAATATGGGTGTATTTTGTATTAGGAAACAAATCACAATGAATATGCAGTGGATGAAGATGAAGATTCCACAGACACTGATGAGTATGAAGATCGACGTAGAGTGATGGACATTCCTGCACCTTCTGGACGCTGCCCACGTCATACCTGATGGGATTTTTATCAAAACAAAATAAACTGTTTTCAGAAGCTGAACTCTTTGGGGCTAGTGCATAAGAATATTTCTGACTATTGTAAATGAACTTTCTGTTGCACATCAGGGCAACTAGCATGAATGTTGGTGCCAGTTCTAATATTCATCGGAGTGTAACTTTTTTTTTCCTGGTTTGGAAGTTGGGGGGGGTTGGGGGTGCAGGGGGAGGGAGGGGAAGAGAAAGGTGTTTGGGCTTTGTTCACTTTTTTCTGAAGTGCGAAACAGCTTGATAGTTTGAGGTAATCATATCTTACATTTTTAAACTATTGCCTATTTATGATCATATTGCAAATATGGTGCGGGGGATTTGTTTTTATACAAGCATTGAAAATTAGCAATAGATAAGATGGAAAAAAAAGGTGTATACTATTGTCCTTTCTCATGAGTTTCTACTCTTGATTAACTCCTGCTAGGAATGAAACTTGCTGTTTGGTCTATGTATCCCATTTGGGTGAGCTCAGGTGCTCTTATGCTCTTTTTTTAATTAACATAGAAATACCAGAAAATTCTGGTTATCAAATGCATAAATTAGGAATGGAATTGGCCTTGTTTTTAGACAATCTGTCTTTCAGCTTAATTTTATGCGAAGTGACTCTGATTGGATGATGCCTTTTGGAATGTAGGATGCCTTTTGGAATGTAGTGTACATGCATAGTCTGCCAATCGGTAACCAAGAAATTTCTCAATGACTACAAAGTATAAATTTGTAAATATGTTTTGGGTTTTTTTTTTTCTTTATATAATGTTTGCTGTTCAGATTTTGTCATAGGTGACAAATTTATGTTGAAGTATCATGTTTCTCTAAATCCTCTGCGAACTTTTGTAACTACACTTGAATCAAAAAAAGAAAAGAAAAAAAAAAGGGGAGCCTGGCAGAACACCACATGACTAGAAACTTTATATTTAAAGAAGTATCTGTTTGCTTTATCACTTTTATTTTGTTTCCATTGTCATTAATAAACAACTTAACTGCCTCCTTTGCTCTGGAGTGCTACATGGGACTCTTCCTGCCAAGGCTTGAGCAATAATTGTGTGACTAGCATTGCTGTAGTCAGTTCCTCTCTTTGACATCCAGAATTAGTAGCTCCTGTGAGGAAAACTAGTATATTGTGGTTCTGACTGAATGTTTCCATTATTGACTAGTTACTGCTCATACAGAAAGCCTGTTTTTGTTTTTTTTTTTACAAGTTGTGGTATTAGATTCTCCATGTGCTCATCTTTCTCTAGTGCCATGCAGCATTTAGATCTTCCACGGTGGTACAAGGTAGAAAAATACTGAGTATGACCCCTGCAAAACATCTAGAGAAGAAAAAAAAAAAGTGTTGTCTCTCTCACAGAGGTCTGAACAGCAGAGTGAATTGCTGGAGTGGTTTAAAAGTGTCCTGGTTTTAGCTGGGACCGGGTTAGCTCTTCTTTTTAGCAGCTAGAAGAGCTCCGTGTTTTGGTTTTACTCAGAGGCTCGCTCTGAGAAGAATGTTGATAGCAAGCTGATGTTTGTGGTTGGACGTGAGACTCCAAGGACTTTTCTGTGTGCCGTGTTCTGGCCGGAGTGCAGAAACACGGCGGGATAAGGGGGGCGCGTAGCCGGGACAAGGGGGACACGATTCCCCTTGTGATTTGTGGTGGAACTTAAGATTGAGGGCCGAACTGGCCAATTAGTATTCCATATCCTGCAGTGTCATGCCCAGTATAAAGGTGAGTGTCAGCCGGACAAAAGGGCTTTTGCGCTTTGGCTCTTTCGCTGCTTCTGCTCTTTTGCGCTTGCTGCGCTTTTGCTCTATTGCCTTTTTTTTTCCTCTCTCTTCCAGTATTCCCACTCTCGGAGTACTCTCTCTCTCTCTGCCCCTCTCTATTTTGGGGCCTCGCGTTCGTCTGGGATTGCAGCTTCGGGATGAGACAGGCTGCAGATAAGAGGGGGTGGTGAGCATCTACACTGTGTATTAAATCATCTGCATTAAATTGTTCTTATCTCAACCCACGAGTTTCCCGTTTCTCCTTTAATTCTCTCCCTCTTCCTGGGGGTGGGGGAGGAGGAGTGACCAGCTGTGTGGGTTCAGTTGCTGGAGCAGCCTAACCCACGACAGTCTTAATTAGCGCCCAACGTGGGGCCCGAAGGGGTTAAGATTAGTAAAGTAAATTGCTGTGATCGGACATTGGGTTTTTTTTTCCTGGATGTTGCTGGCCGGAATGTTGTTTCTAATGCTTTCGTATATGTTACTAGAAATCTATAATTTACTGCCTTATCTGCCTTATATGATATTAGGTGGAATGTTTATGCGGTTTTCCGGCTCTGGTTGTTGGACTGTCATGAAAAGCATGTTATCGGTAATTAAGGGTTTTGCTATACTGTACGGTGTAACACTGACAAGATCATCGGTGCTGGGACCGATCTGCCTAACCCACGACAAAAAGTATTTCCATTTCGAGGATTCCTTAGTATTAACTGTGAGGGGCAAATGTCATGTTTGTGGTGTAATACTTTTTCTTCACAGAAATCCGTTCATCATCTGTTAAAAGGATCTGTGGAAAAAAGGGATTTAGTGCAACTACAACTTATTCCAGTGCTTCTAAGTCTGTTGTGTGTTTTTTTTAAGGACAGATAACTCTCATGGTCAGAGCCTTGCTGGGTACTTTACAAGGATCTATATGTTCTAGTTACATGGCATCAGCTGAAGGTCATAAGGCTCTACAGAAACACTCCCAGTGCTTGGCGATTTTACTCTTCTCGGGGAGTAGTTCTCCCTTGGGTTGTTAAAGAGGAAATATAATTATGGCTTACTGTTGAAGAAGCCAAGATACAGGACAATGCTATTCTGTCAGCTTCTGAGCACTGTGATGCGAGAGTTTGAGGCCTCTGATCCACAGGACTTATGTGAGTTGTGCATATATAAGATCACCAGGTACAGGCAATGACATGTTGCTGCTGTTGTACCAAACATGTATGTATTTGTCACAGGAAAAAGGTTATTCCATTGCTTCAGGCAACTATTTGAGCCTCACCCTACCCCAAACCCTGAAGCTCATGCGAGATTGGTACAGAAAGGGAAGTGGGTGGAAGAAAACAAGGGCTCAGTTATGTCTGCCAGCACTGCTGGACAGTAGAAATCTGCACTGAGAAAATGGGAGAGAATTGACTTCAGATCCCGCTTCAGAAGACAGTGCTTCACCAGTGCCCTGACTGATCCAGTGATCAGGTGTTGGGTAGATGTCCTGGTAACTGCCAGGATAACTGGGTAACCAACCCAACTGCGAAATGCTTCCTGTGGTGGGTAGAATCTGTGCAATGTGCGCGCACGGACTGTAACATATCTATGCCCTTCTCTTTGGCCGCCATCCTTCAGATTCAGCCTGAAGTTCTGTCAGCTTCTCCTGACTCAGGTCCCACCTGTTTGATGCTGATGCCTGGCTAGGATTTCTGTCCAGGTAAGATAAGCCTTGTTGAACATCTATGAATTCAGCATATGGTTAAGAACCTAGCGCATCCAATGCAAGTATGTAACTGATCTACTCCTTTCCTTGTGCGTGGAAGAGGCCTATGCTGACAATTGCACTGTAGGATTCTTTCAGTACTTTTGAGGGCTTTTGCCAACTGGATGGTTTAATGGAGAGAACCTTTGGC